TAAAAAAAAAAAAAAACCCAAATGGAAACCGACAATGAAATTAGTCGTTCTTTGTTTAAGGAAAAGACTGGGTCAAGGTTGCATTGCAATGTATTGTGAGTCTTTTTTAGGGAACGAAATGGACGCCATCTTGAACGTATGTACCCTAAAACAGCCCTACAATGTACTGCGATGCCAACTTCATCAAGTCTTTTCCTCACCTTAATCTCGAAACGGCTAATGCAGGAAGTGAGATAAGAGAGAAAAAAGCTCAAGGAAAATGATGGATGAATGAATAAAATATTTATCCACAAAAAAAGTGTCAAAGTACCATGTACATATCAACTGGATCTTGAAATGCTCCAGCTATATATTCTTATACGTATTTTTAAATATTATGGCATGTTTAACAGACCTCTTTACCTTGGGCCTAATGTTTTCTCATTGCAGACCAAAGGTTCTTCTCTTGAAAATAAGATTCTTTGTTTGAGTTGCATTTATATTCATGTGTCTTCTCATGCGCAAACGTCAAACAAAGAAATAATATGCAAGGGAATGACACGTGGTCTGACATGGGACAACTGTTCCCTCAAGGTAAGGCGTGCATTTTCTTGTCATGTAAATTTACTAGTGTCCAACTATGAATAGTTTGTAGGTAAGGCTTTTAATGAATTATACTTTAAGCTTACTAAATTCTTATACTTATACCTTGTACTGACTAAAGTCTTTATGAAAATAATTAAAAATATATCTTCAAAAAAAAAGTTTTCCAAGTGCTGTCCTCCAGCATTGCTGCTGGAATGCATTAGAACATTCTATGAATTTCTCTAACATGATAAGCATAGGTTTAACTTTGGACGTTGTCCTCCAGCATGGCAACCCTTTTCATCATAATTAATTATATGCATAGTCATAATTGCTCATATATAAAAAAATTTATTCATAATTTCTAGCCTTGTCCTCCAGCATGGCTCCTACCGTGAGAACATTGTTTTAACTTGGTTATAGTTATTACTGAAGTCTTCATTCAACTTATTGACTATTTTAAACTGTTTATATACATAGTTATGTTGCCCCAAGTATAAATATTGAGGCTGTATTTCCTTCGCTGTCTTCCATCATGGCTACTAGTACGAGGAAGAAATTATATCTTTATCTAATCATGGCATTGTTGTCTGAAGAAATGAGAGAAATGAGAAAATGTTTCTCGTTACAACGTTAACACTGTATTTCCTTCGCTGTCCTCTGATTGCTGCTAGTACGAGGAAGAAATTATATCTTTATCTAATCATGGCACTGTTGTCTGAAGAAATGGGAAAGTTTTCTCGTTACACCGTTACACTGTCGCCCAGTGTCTTCCTAAACGAGTCGTCTTAGCAATTAAAACTACCCTGTTTTTGCAGGTTATGCTGCCCATAGTGTGCCATCATCTCTCCATTTTTCAAGGTTGTGTGCTGCTCTTGACACATACAGGTTCATTTTGTTTACTGCTGCAACCTTTCTTTGACCCTACACTATTATATCTCATCGCATCAACGACTTCTTGATTCTCGTATTCATCCTCACTATCCAGTTTTTCAAAGTCGTTATTATTGATCTCATTGACAGATTCCGAGTTCGAACTGCTGACCGATTCTTCACTAGCCAGCGGCGCATTTTTTGATACCTCGGGGGAGCTCCGATTGCTTGAAGCATGGTAACCTTCATTACAAAAACCAACCTCTTCGATCGCTGCAGGCTCTTCGCTTGCATCTTCTTCCATTTCCCTCAGAATTCGACTTGCTCTTTTTGATTTGGTTTCGTTAGGGCAATCATCGTCATCCTGACCTATCATCTCTATGGAAATCGTTTTCAGTCGAGAGGGGCGAAAATCATTCTCATTTATTGGCTTCTTGCTAAGGAACTTGACAAAATGAGATCCGTAACGTGTTGGTCTTGAAGGACCACAAGATGCAGTGCTTAAAGACCTGCCTGATTCAAATGGAGCGTCACATGACTTGCTTCCCTGAGACCCCCATGACTTCGTTTTTGGTAATGTAGAACTGCCCTCTCGTTTGCTGAACGATTCCTTCATCGATCTCTGCAATTCATAGGAAATTGAGCTATTGGGACTTGTGGTGCTGGCGGAGCCTGTGCCCGAGTCACGTGGGCTACTGAAAGACTCGAAGGAAACATTATGAATAAGTTCTAGTAGTTTCTGAGCACTTGTACTCTGAGTCCGTGGCACGGTCATTGTGCAGTCGTCTGCATGGGGCACTTGCTGCTCACATACCGATCTTCTATTTCCAGGATTAGGCGTCGGCACCACAGTAGCTTCTTCACCATCTTCGAGACGCTTACTGCTAGCTGTTGTACTTGCTCGCTTTAATGGTTTTGTTGCTGTAGTTGTATTAATGCGTTGTGGCGTTTCTAATCTTACCAAGGGTAGATTCTTTTCATAGTCCAGGACTCTTCTTCTGAGGTTCCAGAAAGCTTTGACTAGGATGATTAAGACGACAGCTGTGATAATCTGACCGATGGTGAGCAAGATTGACAACATAAACATGATGGTACTGACACAAGTACTTTCACTGACGGCCATTCTTTTGTTGGCTTCTCTCGTGAGGATTTATTAGGATCTGAAAAACAGATAGATATGATATCAGTTGAAGAGCAACGCTTTATAACAATATTTTCAATCCTACCTGGCATATTCATTCAGGGGTGTATCCTGGGTAAAAGGATGTCGAAAGGGAAAATATTAGTCCATGTACATTGTATGTTAACGTCACTACCCTATAATATATAGATAATACAAAGGTTCGCAATGGTTGACTCACCCATTCGACTTTTTAGAAATTACACTTTCTTATCATTCATGTATGATATTTAAAATAATATACTTTATTACGTTTATTTCGCGATTTTACGGTGCGCGTATTTCGCGACACTTAAATTTCGCGATTTTGGGAATTTTTTGTATTTTGAATCACTTTAATTTGGCGTTTTTAAGTAAGGCACTATTTTATTTATCTTATCCTTGAATCAAATAGAACGCCTTTATCTACAATATCGTCAAACATTAACAACAAAGAAGTTCTCACAATGTCCAAAAGAAATTCACGTCATGTATTTAGGATATCTTATACTGCTATGCAAGTGTATACAAAAACTTTCAGTATCTTTAGTTTTTTTTAAAATTCCCGACAGGATTCCTTCCCCCTCCCCGGGTTGTCAACCCCCCCTCCCTCCCCTGCTGTCAAAACCCTGTAGTCTGTAGGAACACGTTCGCAACAGTATTTGAATACATAGTTTGAAGTGTATAGCCAATCACTTTGAGGTCAAATCAGGAACAGGAAAATTATAGTTCTACTAATTTGGATCCCTAAGAAATAACATGATTATTCATAATTGAATACTCCCATTTCGAGTTCGCCTTTGCTCAGTCTTATCCTCGATTATACACATGTGTACATGTGTTCTTTTCTTTTCTTTTGGTCCAGTGTATAGTAAGCAATGAACGCACTAATAAACAATACTGGTTAAATAGCTGAGTAGTTTTACAACACACAACCGAGACTCAGACTGAGCAAAGAGATTTCGAAACTGGAGTGATATTTATGTTAAGTGTATGCTACATCGAGTGCATAAGCAGATTTAAAAATCTGTCTCAGTTGGGTATTCGCGGGACTCGAACCATTGAGTGATATTCTTTGGAATAAGTCTACCTTTACATGGCATCACTATTGAGGATATAATCAATTAAGTTTAAAAATACTGCCAACATCTATAACCACAGTAATGTTGGAAAAATTAAAAGTGTACGATCATGATAAGTTAAGACTTCAACTTTCCTTCAAATCTAATCGATCAATGAAACATCGCTCTGGGATGATCAAAGTGGGGACACGGCTAACTCACGTAAAATCGAATCAAATCGAATCGGAATTTAGCTCGTTATTAGATAAGTTTTGTGGAGAGAGGAAAACTGGAGACCCAACTCGCACTTGTATCTTAAAAATCAGTACTTTTTTTAAGTTACAAAGTTTTTCTAGTTCCAAAAGAAGACTAACCTGGAGGCACTGCTTCGTGGAATTTATTTTCAAACTCACGGGAAAATAGAGTCAAAAAAAAGTGCTTACGAAGTATGCTTTGGTTGAACTACATCATGAAGAGGGCTTTCCCCATAAGATGTGTATATATGTTATATCGTCATGGATATTGTTACAGGAAATCATCTGACTGAATGAGGTCACGAAAGCCAATTCCGCTTAGGCATAACCAGAGAATCGACGTAATATGGATTAATTAGAATTAACTGCTCATCAGCAGATTCTAAATGTTTCTAAATCTAAAATGTCGAAATCGTTGGTTTTTATAGCCGCCATCTTGGTCGAATATTATTCTTTTGGAAATTATTTTTTGTCAAAATTCAACCAGCGGTGGACTTCTTCGACGATACGGCGGATATCTTGGATCGTAAGTCATTATGGGGCAAATAAAGCTTTTTTACAGTAATGACGTCGAGTGATAACAGCTCACAACAAGAGAATACGAACGAAAGATGAATTAAGATGGCACATCGATGACCTTTACTCATATTAGAAAGACAAGCACACGAAACTCTTTATATTTTCTGTCTTTGTTGTTTTGTTTTGGCCCCTGGCAAGATGGCCGCCGTATAGTAGGCTGTGGGATCTATATCATTTTCGTCGTTAAACCTTGCATTTTCAACATACCAGGTTAAGAATAGAGGGCCAGACTCGATAAGCGTGGCGATGTCAAAAAAACCTCTTAACTTTAAATAAGCGCATCCAAAAATTGAACTGGAATATTACGTTTGGCTCAGCTAAACGGTTTGACAAATCTTGATTTGAAATTCTTTGTTAATTTACGATCTGATTTAAGAGCAGCTAAGGCACATTTCAAAGCGAATAGACCCCTTGCAGCACGTCTGAATGCAGCTCCATTCRGATGACATTACAGTATAGGTTTCCAACTCTCAGGAGATTGAAATAGTCTTTTGTTTTGCCTCCAAATTGAACTGCTTTGACATCACATGCAAGGTGTCTATAAACTACCAATTATGACACAGGTATCCCATTACGTACGGTGATGCATTACAAACCTAGCTAGCTTACAGACCGATAAATACTTCGTAGTGATGTAAATGAACTTTGAAGTTGCTATATCACCACAAAGAAAACAAACTATAAATGTTAATTAGAAAACTAAAGTTATTTTTGATACCTCGTTATGTTGAGCTCAGTTGTTGTTATTGAGTCAAGCACTTGAGATGAAATAGTTTGAATTGCGTGTTGAATGGTATGTTTGAACCTTGCTGAAACGACGCTCAAACGAAAACTTTTTCACCTCAGGCGATCAGTATCGTCGATAAACCAATCCTAGCAGTGTAGTTTGGAATGGAACAGCGTGACGATGGTAAAGTATGCTTAGGCAGGTACGTGGGATCGAAGGCAGAAACGAAAAAGTAAATGGTCTATTATCTATAAGTCCGTTTACGCAATCTACTCCTTTTACAACTAAGCTTAACTACGTGTTTTGGGTCGGGAACACCATTTCGAAACTGGATTAACACAAATATAAAACTTAAATGAAATGTTTGTGTTAACTTGGACGTGTTTATTTTGTTTTTAAACTTAGGCTCTAAGTGTGAGCTCTTTAAATCCCATTGTGTAAGAGGCAAGGTTAAAACAATGTTTCAAAATAGAGATCTGATTAGTTTATTATTTTATTGCAGATATAGATGGTGCGTCCTCCTCAGGCATCTCTCTGCGTTCTCTCCTCCCTCGGGACCAGTACTCTTGCGTTTCGTTGGCAAAGGAAGCCCGCTAGAGACTAATGCGCGCTAGAGAACAACGGAGTTTTGCACTGCAATGCGACTCGGCCCCTTTTTTCTCAACCTCTGAACAGCTAATATATAGTAGGTGTTCGTAGTTACTATTTCTATGTTATGATATTTGAGGACAAAATCCATGATTTCTTTTCCAGAGATGGTGGGCCGTAAAGCCCACGCCTTCCCTCTAAATTGGCACCATTTTTGACCGCATAACTCTAAGTCATTCTTCTTCTTTCTTCTCTTTTGGTTTCTTCGATTTTTTTCCGGTTGCTTTACCTCGTCTTTTTTTATTTTTTTATTTTTATTTTTCACCTCTCATTATTCTTGCTAATTCGCTCTTGTCTCTTAGAGTGACAGATATTTGCGTGACATGGACATTTCTGGTATGTCACGCAAGCTAGACTTGGATTAACATTTCTTACACCGGATGCAAATACCAAAAATATTGACCTCGACCGCGACAAGCATCAAACAAAAGATTCTTAAACAACGAACTTGTTCTTACCTAATACTAAGGGTCATGTACTGTTATCTATAAATATTAAAATTTAGAGAGTGATTAGAAAATGGGTCTTGTGTCAAAATGCATGCCATTTACAAACCTATCCAGACTCGTTTCGAAATTATGACTTGCAAATACGAAACAAATGCTAACAATTGAGTTTTGTCATATTAGTAAAGTGGCCAATTAGAATGTAAGATCAGTAAATGAGTCCACTGATTTTTACAGCCACTGAAAATGTGATAAAAAAAAAAAAAAAAAAAAAAAAAAGAAAAGAAAAAAAAAAAAAAAAAAAAAAAGAAATTGAGTAAAGATTCAAAGAATGTCCTGCAGTTGAAAAGAAACGGGTAGTCGTTTTATGTGAGCAGTGTTTGTCTCTCCCGATCTCCTGTGCTTCAAGTGGTTTTCTCCAGTTTTTCTGGTTTTTCCTGCCTCCACAAAAATCAACTTCTAAATTCTAATTTGATCTATCGGTAGCCTTATCAAGTGGGTTTCAAAACCTGTTAGACTTTACTTCCACCATGGAGTGGTTATTTAGATTAGATTTTCTAGATTAGAAGTCACTTCTAATAATCTAAATGAATTTACCACACCATGGAGGACGGTAAACCCTAACACTGAGGTTTTGGTCTCCGGATAAATCCAACGACTCTGCTATATCAGTGTCTGCTATATCAGTGTCAGTGTCGTTCCATAATAAATCGTAAGTTCGCATTCAGAAGAAATAAATGTAGGATTTACCATAGTATAAAGCATTTTTTATTAAGAGAGAATTCTTTTCGTATTCAAGCAGTGCGCGCCAAAAACTATATATTCTCGAAGAAAGGCTGTTGTACAAGCCTAGTTTAACTTGTTTGGAAGTGGAGATGATCGATGAAAGTAGAATCAAAGTGTTAACCCAAAGCGGAAAATGATGTTTAGGCCTTCATTTGCTTATTTCCGATATATTTTCTATAAAAAAGCCTGACAAAGCAAAACATCTTTGTTCAATTAAAAATACCGCTTCAAACAGGCATTTTATCATGAGGATGCCTATCTTTCCAGTTAGGAAGCGAGTTAGGAAGCGAGTTAGGAAGCGAGTTAGGAAGCGAGTTAGGAAGCGAGTTAGGAAGCGAGTTAGGAAGCGAGTTAGGAAGCGAATTAGGAAGCGAGTTAGGAAGCGAGTTAGGAAGCGAGTTAG